AAAAAAAAAAAATTTTGATGTTTGGTCATTTTGACAGATTTTGCGAAGTGGGTTGGCAAGGAAACTATTCTAAAACTACTTATATTGGGAAATATTTTTTCCGAAAATAAAATGTTCAAAATTCTCCTGTATCTTACATACCAAAGGTCATAAATGCCAGAAATTTTGAATTCTGCCCAGAAAAGTCTGGGAATGAATGCAGTTACTATAAGCTTATTTTCTTGCTAAAAATTACCTCAAAAATAGATATGTGTTTTATGCAAAATATGTGCATTAGTAGGATACTGAATCTGAACAAAAGTGGAGAAATGTGAAAAAGCTTTTAAATGACAACATGTTTCACCTGTATGTGTTAGGTAGGCGTCTTCAGGTCAGAATGAAAGAAAAAAATGTTTTTCTATTAAAATTGTTAATGTTTGTTTGCTAGGTTGGTGTCTTCTGGTCTAGCAAACAAGCATTAACGTCTTTCATGCAAAAAAATCTAGAGTTTTTTCTTTCTTTCAACCAGAAGACAATACTTCCAAACTCAATGTTACTTCATAAAATGCATGAATGACAGACAATTTTCTTTTTCCTTTATTTTGCTTTATAATATGAAGTTGTAGTATTGTTTCTAGGAGGAAACAAGAGGGAGCTGATCAGAAAAACATGTCAATTCCTTGGTTAGAATTTTGTCATGTGTTAGTTACCCTTACTATAGCTTTTTGACCCTTCAGATTCTTGCAGCCATCTCTGTGTCTCCATATCTTTTTGATCTTAAATGAAAAAAAATAACCAAAGGCAATCCATCACTTTGAGAATTGTCCACCCATGATGTCTTGTGACCAATAGTTTGCCATTCTGCAACACTGCATCATGGATGAAATTTTTGTTAGCTAAGTCCTTTCATTTTTGGGGGGAATTTTACATTTCAAATTTAAGTATACATATATTATACGAATAACATCATGTGTATATGTGTATTTAAGTTTGAAATATCTATGATACTGATGACATTTAGTTTTGGTGATGACCAAGAAGAAAATTAGTGACTCTCTCACAAAACTGACTGCATATATATTGCAGTAGATAGTTTCATCTGTTACCCAGTTCACACTCCCCCTTGGTCTTTTGAAGAAGAGTAGTTGTTTTTTTTTATTTTGGGATCGGGTTTCCAGTTTCTTCTAGAGTATTCACATTCTTTCCCACTCCTTCTATATAAAAAGTTAAATAGCATTATATAAGCTATGTAAAAGCTATACAAGTAACATAAAATAATTTAATATAAAGTGATATAATATATGTACATGTTTTTGGAGAGATTTTATTTTATTTTTTTACACAATGGTGTCAACATCATAGTTGTTATCACCACAGCCATTTTAGTAGTGTTTTCAGTCCAGCTTTCTTCAGCTTGTCATATTTGGCTAAATTCTGGAAATTTCAAATGGAACCCTTTATTCAATCCTCGGGGTAGATAGTTCTCATTGTGTTCAGTGGAAGGATTAACTCAAGATAAGATAAACTTTTAGCATGGACAGTAGAATGAGAACAATCTTTCCCTCTGGCATGAATAAAGAGATTGATATAAAATTTTCAGAAGTTTATCAAACACAATGGACACCCAAATTAGACAGCTGGAAGGTAAAACAGATGAAATGTTGTCACTTGAGAAGCCAAGATAATAAGTTTGAATTAATCTGTAAAATGAGGGTTGGATTATGTCAGGTTACTCTGCTTGTACTACTACTACTACCATATAAACCTGTATCTAGAGTTTACAAATTTAAGTGCAGTACTTCAGAAGAGCAACAGAAATGTGGTTCTACAGAAGGAAGCTGAGAATATCAAACCGAATATGTGAGCAATGATGAAGTTTTAGTAAAAACAGAAACAAAAAGGACACTTATACTTAACTTACTTAGTGTCTCTTGGGTATGTCTGTGTTCCTTTTTGGTTCAGAAGTTAGTTAGTTATGGTTAAAATGATCAAGCTCAAGTCAGCTTTGCACTGAGTTGGAATGACCAATCCATTTATTTCAAGAGTAGCTCTGCCAAAACATATCTGAATGATGTTGTCGGAAAGTGGAAAAGAGTAAGATTCTGTCCTTTCTGGAAGTGGGGTCATAAAATTGCACATGTGACCAGAAACCCTTTCTGGTTTCTTTTTAACTTGCATCATGGGAAAATGAATTCATTTTTTTTCTTTCTTTATTATTTTATTTATTGGTTTTATTTAATTTTCTCACAATCTAAAAGTTATTTTAAAATACACAAGTCACGATGCATTTAATGCTCAAGTTATAATTACATATTGTGTTTCTAATAAATCTCATTTTAGGTACATCAGTAAGAAATAAAAAGTTATGAGTCTCATAATCTATTAGGATCACAGAGGCAACATGTACTGCAGCAGCGGTCTTGGGCAAACAAGCTTGACTGAGCCGAACCTTCACCAGACTGGCTTTGATTTAGAGTTTTCCTTCTACTGGATTGATTGCACACTTTTTAATTATCAGCTACATCGATATTACTTGCATCAACCAAATATTAAAAGAAAAACCTCTCAGATTAACTGCTCACATCATTATTTCATAACTTTAATAATAAGAATCATAGGATGCGTGGGTGATGGTAATTGTTAGTGGCTTGGAATAAGAAACTGGCAAACCAAGTTTAAATTTGAGTTCAGTTCATTACATTCACTTTCATGCAAATACTCTTGTGAAAGATATGAAACCATTTCTTTTCCCCCAACTATAGGTTAAATAGTAGAACAGACCGAGATCTTCAGCCTAAGTTGGCAACCAGTCTAGGAAAAAGACAACTCTGAATTCAAAACCAATTGGGCATGGGGCTAGTAACTCCATCCTGAAGAAAACCTACTTGCTATAGAAACCACATCAGCAATGCCTGGTGTGTTGAGACTGTGCCTTCATATGTGTGTGTTGTGCATAACAAGATTAGATAGGTTTGCCTATCATCCAGTTCCCATTCCACCCCTGTCTTTCGAACAGGAGTAGAGGTTCATCCCTAGTTCCTTGATTGGAAACTGGATGATAGGCAAACCTGTCTACTCCTGTTATGCACAATGCACACATATAAAGGCACACTGCTGAATACCCGAACTGGGATCAAAGCATGAAAACATAAAAATACATTAGAAAAATTACCAGCAATACATTTTCATAGTAAAAAAAAATACCAAAGCTAACAAGAAAATAAAACTTCAGCATTAAATAACCCATAAGGAGTTGATATGTCTTTAAACAAACCAAACTTTCCTCTCTCTTGCTTTCAATATGTCCTGTGAGTGTCAATTTCCCCAAGCTCTTTTTCCTCATTTCTATTTTGATTGCATCTTTCTGATTCTAAGTGTAAATTTCCTTCTGAAAAGAATTATGAAGGCGCTGTTGGAATTCATTAGATGAAGTATTTCTATTATTTATATTATTCATTGCTGACTAGATCATCTTGCATTTTATTATCAAGATGTTTGCATGTGTAACTGTTCTTGAATTAAAAGTGCTTAGACAATGAAACGTATTAGCTTCCAAATTCTGGAAAATGATAATATGATGCAAATCAGACTTAGTATTTATTGTCCTATTTGCACGTTGGTTCAGACAAAAGAATATTTTTTCTTTATAAAACATCTTCATGAAACATAATTGGCTATGTTAATATTAGCCATTTCCTTATAAGGAAACATTTGGCATTCATTGGCCAAGCAGCCATTACAACTTTCAGTTGAAATGCATAAAATCCTTCAGGAAAATTGGTTTCTCAACTCAGCTGTTATTACTCTTTCCAGTGTTCATATGTGTTTCCTTCCTAACCTTTGGTTTCATATAGTCTGAAACTTCAGCACCTAGATTGTTATTATTTTCTTTCTGAGTTACATATCCATTTTTGCTGTTGCTGCTGTTGAAAGTCCTGAAGTGATGTGATTTCTGTTCAAATGATACAGTTTGTTTGGGATTCTGTATGGCCAGTTCACAAGGTTTGAAGAAGGATGATCTTCACTGTAACCCTTAAGTTTCACTCATTCAAAGCCATTTTTAACTATGCACAAATGATAATAAGTGATTTGCTTGGTGAAATAAACTACAGGAAATAAATAAGTAAAAATATTCAATATTAATCAGAACAAACATATGAATACTAAATATTAAGCCATAAAAAAAGATATAAAAATAGTTGTTTTAAAATTGGTTTATTTTATTTTATTTCTTCTTCCTTTTTATTTTTTAAACTCCATCAGTGACTTCAAATCAAGATTGTTCTGCATAGGTTATATATTGGAAATGTTTGGAATGAGAGGCAGTTATTGAAAAGAAAGAAAGAAAGAAAGAAAGAAATGGTGTGCAAATTTTCTGGCTTATAGACTACTTCTCAGATGAGTTTGCATTAGGAGGAGAAGGTTTGTTGAGGAGATAACTTGTAAGTTTTGACAACAATGGACACTCATAGGTTGCTGTCGTTTCTCTCACTGCAATCTAAATAAAGAACTTGATGCAAAACTGATTTAGTTGAGGAGGAGGTGCAAGACTGGGGCTGGAAGGGGATTGGAGATGAAGTGGAGCTGTGGGGAGTTAAGTATGAAGATGGGGGAATTAGTTGACAAATGAAGACACTGACATGTCCTTACTGTTGAATCGGACTTCTGATTACAGACAAGAAAGATAAGGCAAGTTGTCAGAAAGCAAAATGGAATATACTGGTTTGAATTAAATAAAGGAAATAAACTGGACATAAGAAAACTGTTTGCTCTGATCAAAGAAGAAAGGAGAAAGGAAAGACAACAGAGGACACATTAACAAAGGAGAAGAGAGGAGAATTAAATAAAAAATGAAAAATACAAAAGGATTTGTAGTGGTACTATTTTTGAAAAAAAATATCTTAAAAGTGACAAAAAATTGCAAGAGTTGTCAGAAAGAACAAAAATGGAATATACTGGTTTGAGATTAAATAAAAGAAATAAACTGAAAACTTGGAGAAAGAATGTTTAGAATTGAATACAGAGGGAATAGTAGAAACAGAGGGGAAAGGAGGAAAGAGGAGAAAGGAAAGAATACTAGCAAAGGAGAAAGAGGAGAAAGGAAATGAGGAATTGAGAAAGGAAGAAACAGAGGGAATAGTAGCAAAGGAGAAACAGGAGGAAAGAGGGGAATAGTACAAAGGAGAAAAGAGGAGAAAGGAAAGAATACAGAGGGAATAGTAGCAAAGGAGAAGGAGAATACAGAGGGAATAGTAGAAAATGAAAGAGGAGAAAGAAAGAATACAGAGGGAATAGTAGCAAAGGAAAAGAGGAGAAAGGAAAGAATACAGGGAATAGTAGCAAAGGAGAAGGGAGAAAGGAGAAAAGGGGAATAGTAGAAAGAATACAGAGTGAATAGTAGCAAAGGAGAAAGAGGAGAAAGGAAAGAATACAGAGGGAATAGTAGCAAAGGAGAAAGAGGAGAAAGGAAAGAATACAGAGGGAATAGTAGCAAAGGAGAAAGAGGAGAAAGGAAAGAATACAGAGGGAATAGTAGCAAAGCAAAGGAGAAAGGAAAGAATACAGAATAGTAGCAAAAGGAAAGAAGAAAGGAAAGAATACAGAGGAATAGTACAGAGGGAATAAGCAAAGGAGAAAGAGGAGAAAGAAAGAATACAAGGGAAATACAAAGGAGAAAAAGGAGAAAGGAAAGAATAGGGAATAGTAGCAAAGGAGAAAGAGGAGAAAGGAAAAAGCAAAGGAGAAAGAGGAGAAAGGAAAGAATACAGAGGAATAGGAAGAAAGAGGAGAAAGGAAAGCAAAGGAGAAAAGGAGAAAAGAAAGGAAAGAATACAGAGGAATAGTAGCAAAGGGAAAGAGGAGAGGGAATAGTAGCAAAAGGAGAAAGAGGAGAAAGGAAAGAATACAGAGGGAATAGTAAAAAAGGAGAAAAGGAGAAAGGAAAGAATAAGAGGGAATAGTAGCAAAGGAGAAAAAGGAGAAAGGAAAGAATACAGAGGGAAAGTAAAGGGAAAGGAGGAAAAGAGGAGAAAGGAAAAGAATACAGAGGGAATAGTAGCAAAGGAGAAAGAGGAGAAAGGGAAAGAAATACAGCAAAGGAGAATAGTAGAAAAGAAAGGAGGAAAGTAGCAAAGGAGAAAGGAAAAAGAATACAGAGGGAATAGTAGCAAAGGAGAAAGGAGAAAGAAAGGAAAGAATACAGAGGGGAATAGTAGCAAAAGGAGAAAGAGGAGAAAGGAAAAAGAATACAGAGGGGAAGAAAGACAAAGGGAAGGAGAAAGAGGAGGGAAAGGAAAGAATACAGAGGGAATAGTAGCAAAGGAGAAAAGGAGAAAGGAAAGAATACAGAGGAATAGTAGCAAAGGAGAAAAGGAGAAAGGAAAGAATACAGAGGAATAGTAGCAAAGGAGAAAGAGGAGAAAGAGAAAAGAGGAATAGAAAGGAAGAGGAAAGGAAAGAATACAGAGGGAATAGTAGCAAAGGAGAAAGAGGAGAAAGGAAAGAATACAGAGGAATAGTAGCAAAGGAGAAAGAGGAGAAAGGAAAGAATACAGAGGGAATAGTAGCAAAGGAGAAAGAGGAGAAAGGAAAGAATAGAAAAGAGGAGAAAGGAGGGAATAGTAGGAAAAGAATACAGGAGAAAAAAAGGAGAAAGGAAAGAATACAGAGGGAATAGTAGCAAAGGAGAAAGAGGAGAAAGGAAAGAATACAGAGGGAATAGTAGCAAAGGAGAAAGAGGAGAAAGGAAAGAATACAGAGGGAATAGTAGCAAAGGAGAAAGAGGAGAAAGGAAAGAATACAGAGGGAATAGTAGAAAGAGGAGAAAGGAAAGAATACAGAGGGAATAGTAGAAAGAGGAGAAAGAGGAGAAAGGAAAGAAAGGGAATAGGAGAAAAAGAAAAAGAATACAGAGGGAATAAAAAGGAAAGAATACAGAGGGAAAGTAGAAAAAAGGAGAAAGGAAAGAATGTGGAATAGCAAAGGAGAAGGAGAAAAAAACAAAAAAGCAAAGTTGGAACAAAAAAGAAAAAGAAAGTTGGAGTAGCAAAGGGAAAGAAAGAGGAAAAAAAAAGAGAGGGTTGGAGGAGGAATAGTAGCAAAAACAAAAAGAAGTTGGAGGAGGAGGAAAAACAAAAAGAAGTTGGAGGAGGAGGAAAAACAAAAAGAAGTTGGAGGAGGAGGAAAAACAAAAAGGAAAAGGAAGTAAAGGAAGAAGAACAGCAAGAAGATGTGTAGCAGGAGAAGCAAATGGAAAAAAAAATGAAGGAAAATTCTAATTTAAAAAGAAACTCATATAAATGTGAGATTTAGAGATAATATGAATGGGAGTGATGTCTTGTCAAAATTCTTTCAGATACTGACTGAAAACAAAAAATATACAATGAAAATGTCTTAAACTGCTAAAGAGCAGAGTTACGATCATGTGAGAGTGAAAGGTGGAGGGAGAGGAATCTAGGTATGCAGACAGGAAAGAAAGTAAGGTATTTTTAACAAATAGACTGATATCACTGAGAAAAGGGGTTTAGAAAAAAACCTGAAATTTTCAAGAAGTTAGTGAATATAAGAACTAATGACTTTGCTAAGAAAAACACGATGAAGCAAATAAAGTTCATTATTTCATCTTATCTAGTTTTTAGACGTTTTGTTTATTTATTTGCATGTCTATCCAGGATTTCCTGTCTCGGTATCTCTGCCTGATCCATATTTGCTAGACTTTACCATTTTTCTTTGACTCGTTCTGATTTTACTTTTATTTATATTGTGTCCGTCTGTCCTTTTATCAGAATATGTAGACTCAAAATACCTGAGAATGTATGTGCATATGTGTAAGGAAAAAAAGAATGCATGCAAATGAGAGACAATGTATGCCTATATTTGTATATGTATATTCATGAGAAAGAAAAAGTGTCTGTCAGTATGTGTGCATGTATTTAAGAAGGTAGTTGTATACATACATCTGTATATATCAACACACACATGCATACAAATTTCCACATGCACAAATATATATATATCTATTAATTCATGTCTATCTGTCTGTCTCAAATGATATCTGTCTGAAGTCATATCTGTCTGTCTGTCTGAAGTCATATCTGTCTATCTGTCTGTCTGTCTGTCTCAAGTGGAATCATCAAGCCGAATGCAAATTCTGACATAATCTATTTTTTTGAATACTTTGATTTTTTTTTTTTCATGTTTATTTTGAAGATCTTGAAATTTCTGATTTTTTGTTAAAAAAAAATGTGGGTGATTTAATTAGATACAGAAATTTACATTTATTAAAAAGTAACAAAATATAAAAGATGTATACATTTACTATGGAAAGATTATAAATAAAATTATCAGATTAAAATACTAATGATTATGATATGCTTGGAAATCTCCCAAAATAGAAAATATATATAACATTATAGGGCTCTTTTTAAAAAAATTAAATGAAAACTATTAGACTGGTCACCACAGTCACACAATTTAGACCATATTGAAAATATATGGAATTTAATGAAAAGGAAAATGGAAGGCAATGTCTTTAAAAATATTGATGAATTAAAAGAAGAAATTATAGATATTTGGAATAACATCGATAAAAATTTAATTTCTGAGAGAATTATATGAAGAACAGAAGGATAACATGTGGCAAACCACTCTAAATAAGTTTTTCATTAAAAAATCACATTAATAAACATTAATTCATAACATTTTTATTATATATTCTTATATGTACCTATATTTTAATTAAAAATTAATTGTGAATGAGACTAAAATTTGAGGTACAAATTTTCCTATAAGTTATTATGTTCGATTAATGTGTTTCTGATTCGTGCCTATCTTTTAATGTACACATTAGCTGTACCAATCGAGGGATTATTTTTTATTAATTATTTTTTTTAAAGTTTATTTTATATTTATCTCATTTATTTATTTACTTATTTATTTAAAGTTTTTATTATATTTATTTTATTTAGTTTTAATTAGTGCTTAGACAACAAAGTAAGTATTTATTTATATGTTTACATATACCCATTATTTCAGTTTCCTTGTTTAAGAGTTTATTTTGGTTTTTAAAACTAATTATTGCTAATTTTTCCTCTAAGCATAATTTGCAATTTTTACTATTAATACTGTATGGTGCTGCCCTTTTTATAATTTCCCATTTGATTTTGATGGAGATATTGTTTTCTTTTTGGCTCCATACGTATTTTGATAGGGTTGTACTATTTGTGTATTTTCTCTTTCGAAGGACATTTTGTAATTATAATATCTTTCTTTAAAAGTTTTTTTCTGTGGTGCCTATGTAATTTTTTTGCCTGTGTTAATGTTATTAGTTATGATAACTTTGTATATTATGTTGATAATTAAACATTTATTGTTAAGTGGGCAATTTTCTTTCTTTTCACATTTATATTTAATGGTGTTATTTTGCCAGATGTTATTGTTATTGCAATTGTGATTGGTTTTGTTGATTATTTTTTTTATTGTGGCTAGTTGTTGTTATCTCAATGTTGTTAGCTGTAACTAATTTTGATTGTATTTTTGTTGATAATGTTTGATAATTTGCTGTTTTTAGGGAACTGTTTGCCAATTATTTTGAAGAATATTTTCCTTATTTTTGTTTTTATTGTATTGTTGTAGGTTGAAGCTGAAACAAGATGAGGTATTATGTACACTATTTACATTATTCGGACTATTGTTCTCATCTTTGTCACCATGTTTATCACAACATTTCGGCTGTTGTACGCTCTGGCCTTCTTCAGGTAGTTGGAATGTCAAACTGAACCCTTTATTTCACTCACTGGGGTAGACTGTTCTAGTTCAATATGCCATGTCTAATGGATGTCAGTTAATCCTGTTAATTCCCCTCTCTCAAAGTTCTCCACCGCCTTAACCTGGTATTAAACTCACACTCATTTACAAATTTGTGGGATCAAGTTGAGATCATAGACAAAGAACATCATTGGAAAATTTGTAAACTTAAGAAATCAGCACATATGCTAGGCCACAAAAATCTCCTGAGCTGACCAAGCGTAGAAATGAATACAATATGGGAACTAGTAATAAGAAGTGTCAGAGAAAAGAGATAATAACAACAAAAATTGCAATATGAGTTCTGGTAAAAAACATGCAATGATAACAGCAAAAATTGCAATATGAGTACTGGTAAAAAACGTTTGCTGAAGACATTGGTTTTATAATACCCAGAAATTCATACATAGATGTCCTCAAGGACACATGGCACAGTGGATAAAGATGTTAGTTAGATCCAGTGACAGGACCCATTGTTATTCTAAAAAAATATTAATGTAATATTCAAATATTACATTAATATTTTTTTTAGAATAACAATAATTTTTCTAGATACAAGTCCTACTATTTAACATATAGATGAGGGGATTTGCATGTAAATGAATGTAAAAAAAAACTCCACTTGAATTTAAAATTAGTGTTCCAATTTCTCATCTGGAATCACTGCCCATTATATCACCAGCACAAAAATTCAAAACAGAAAACCAATACAGAAAAGAGTAGGAACACATTTTAAGTCTGAAAAGATATATATATATATATATATATATATATTGGACTCTCCTATCATGAACAAAAAATGAGGAGCAGCATTGGATAGTACCTTTTGTTTTACATTCACACATACTAGCAAGGGCTATTGTGGAGAAAATCAAGTAAGGGAAAGACATATTTTATTTGTGCTTTATTAAGTCTGATCCTAGCCCAACCTTGCTGCAGGCAACAAAGCCACACTGACAGATGAAATTTGTTAAAGCAGGATTTTGATAGCATCTCTGCTTCAGATCACGGTGCTTCAGTCTACTGTCTTCAAAACCCTTTAACTTAATGAAAAATGTCTTATGGCACTCCTTTTGGTTTGATGGTTCGGCTCCCCAGGTTTTCAGATCAAAGTTGAGGTGTTTTCAAGAATGTCCTTGATTTTTCTTTGTGAATGCTTGGAGTTTGGTAGTTGTCCATACAGTACCTTCTTTGGAAGCCTATGCTCATCCATTTGCACAACATGACCAGCCCACCTAAGTTGTGTGTGCATATATATATATATATATATATATATATATATATATATATATATATATATATATATATATATATGTGTGTGTGTGTGTGTGTGTGTGTGTGTGTGTAAAAATGTGAAAAAAATCTCAAATTTTTTATTTTTATTAAAAATGTTATTTTATTGTGCATTTCAATCTATTGTGTGTGTATATGCAGCGGGATGGATTTTTCTTGTAAAATGAAGTTTTATTTTATTCATATGCATATTTATGCATGTTTATATGCATCTGTGTAATGAGTGTGTTTCTTTGTACAATATTATAGGTATGTGTTTAAGACTTCCTCTATGTATGCCTGTTGAAAAATGATGTCTATGCATCTTCTCAACTATGTGTATATGTGTGCAATATGGATATGTATACACACACATACACACGTATGTGTCTATATGTATGTCTGCATGTGTGTGGGTTGTTCCTTTAATGGAATCATATATGTCTGCCTGTACATATGTGTGTAATTTTTAGATGGCTGTAGGCAAGAAAACTTCGATAATGAATAGTACCAAGCAACAATGGAATTATACAATCAGAAACGAGTAAGTGAATGTTGGTGGGGTGGGTGTTGGAAAGGAAAAGACAAGGAAATATTTTGAAAAAAAATGTCACAGGAAAAAATTATTGTAGAAAGAAAAATAATGAAAAAAAATAATCAAGTATCAAAAAAACAAAATACAAACTGTCCAACCAAGAAAATAGAAATAAAAAAAAAAGATTCAGGATGTAGTAGTAATAGTAGGAGTAATAATAATAATGATGATCTTCCTCTTCTCCTACCATATGATATGAGAGTGGACTCTACATAAACTGAAAAGATTGAACAATATCAGGATCTAAATATTGGAGTTGAAGTTATGAAACATGTCTGTTTTTGTAGTAATGGGTGTGATTAGAATGCCACCTAGAAACGTGAAATAAGGCTTAGAGAAAATTAAAATTGAAACTAAGATTGTAAAGCTCCAGAAAATTGCTGTGGTTTATTCTGCAATGATCTGCCAAAAAGTTCTTGTGATTTGAGATGTCTTCATGACACCATGCCTCAAGAATAAAATTTTTGATTACTGCAACATTGTTATAGTGGAACACACTTATTCTATAGTTAATAGACTCTCCCACCTATAATAAGTAGGAGTAGTAGCAGTCGCTCAGGGGTTGGTTAGTCAGTCGATGTCGGACGACCGTTAATCGGATACTAGAAGTATCAGCGACCACAACTAGATTTCTCTGCGTCATTACCTATTATATCAAGTTCCTAACGTTTTGTACATCGAACCTATTTTAGGACCGACTTAGTACAAATACAAGCCTCCACTGTGAAACTACTCTACAACAAACATAAAATAGGCTGTGCTAGGTGTAATATTTTTTCCAACACTGCAACATGCTTCAAAACCAAAACATTAAGGTACAAACTTGGATGATATTCT